TAAAGTAAATTAAGGTGTGCAAGCAAGCAAGAGAAAATTCTACAAAGGAACTAAAACGAAACTGTTATTTTAGTTGGTAGGCTAGTGGACTATGCCCCAATTGGGTGAGACACACTAATTTTTTTAACGTTTTAATGGGGGCAATGGGCTATTTCCAGAGTGCGTCAATTAGACTTTTTAACGTTTTGTTGGACACACCTAAAGCAAAGTAAATGAGGCTTTCGTTCATGCCTTGCAAACTTGAGGCATGTGCCTCACTCAGTTGAAGCTAACGTCTCCAAAAACTACCTCTCGGCGCTTTGGGGTGTTTTTTATTCACCTCACTCTGAGGCAGGCCTACTTCTTAAACCATGGAATTTTTTTTGGAAGTCTTTCCCAATATAAGATTAGTTTTTTTTCCCCCTCAAAAAGAGTGCACGGAGCCTGGTTTGCTGGTAAAGCAACAAGATGGGCAACTGCATTCTCTGAAGAATTTCTCTCTTTGGTCACGCAACTGCATTTTTCGATGAGAATTTCAGAGATTATGGACCATATTTCATGGATTATGTGGGGATTTAATTTCTGTCTTTGAAGAGTCTATATTTATATATACATCCACTACATGTGCTTCTGCATCAAGGCATTTTTCTGATTAAAATATACTGGTTTCACTGATGTTTTTCTTTTTTTAAATAGATTTGAAAGTTCCTTTTTCATGATTTACCTTGATTGCCATTCTTATGCTTTTATCCTTCATTCTGCATCTATGTTCGGGATTGTGAAATTAGCAACCTGAGAATGCACATTGCTTAATGTTTTACCCTCTTTGATTTTCCTCTTACCATCATTCTTCTTCTTGTTGTGGGAGGTGATACTTGGCATGTTTTAGTATTTTGTTGTACCAGACTTTAAAATAGATTGGTTTTGTTGCCACAGTAAGATCGGAAGGTCAACGTCTTAAACAAATCAAACATGTTGAATCTGGCCCGGTTGGGCTGAAGCCACTTCGGTTGCAGTTTAATCCCTGTGAAAGGAGAAGAACTACAATGCAAGCTTTTCGAGTACAACTTTCTTCTATGACATGTTCTGCTGCTCTGGTAATTTCTCGTACGTCTGTACTAAAAATTTAACTTGCTATTTGCAATTGATTGGTATCATGTTTGAAAGGGATTGTCTGTCCTTGGAGCTGACCAGTCGCATTGCATTGCTGCTTTAGTAATCCTTCAACTAGTAGAAAAGATTGAATTTGATGCTTTTTTGAGATGAACAAGTTTCTCTAAGCTTAAAGAGGTTACTTGTATGAGTAAATAATCAATTTTTTAAATATATATATATTTTTTTGTTTATCAAAGTTGTGGAAGTAATTAAGTACTTATTTAGTTATTTTAAGAATAAACCATTTCTTTACTATATCATGAGAAAAAAAGTAACGTATTCACACGGAACTGGAAAAAAGGAAATTTAGTTAGCAGTAACTTTTACTTCCAGACTTGTCTAAACATTCTCTAAATGTGGGCTTAGTTCTTTCTTATTAGCATATTGACATGTGTCAATCTTGGTAAGCTGAGCAAGTTCTGGCACAAACTTGTGTCATTATTATTTTAGTCTTGCTTTATGAAAGCAGTAATTATTTGTATGCTTTCGTCCTACTGCCTGGTTATAATAGTTACGCACATTATACACAAAAGATATGCAGAATCATTTTCGGGCTCCATACGATGACCTATACATGCTGAAAAATATGAGAATTTTTCATCTTCTGAATTTTGACTGATCAAAAGTGCCCAAGTTCTAATTAGCTTATTTTCAATGACAGAATGCGACTTGTGCTGCAGAGCAAACCCAAACAGTCACACGTCAATCGTCAACCATTACCGTTGCACCTATTCAAGGTATTAATTATCTTCTTCCACTAGATTCAGGTTTGTCTGCTGTTTAAGCAGTATATGGTTTACTCTTACTGTCATTCAACAATTAATTTATGCCTGAGTGATCTAAAATCTTTCCAGAGATATGGAGAGAAAAACTCTATTGTCATTTTGCACTATTTTAATTTATCAGTTCAGTTCTATTGTTTATCTTCTCAATTTAAACCTCATTTGGATTAGAAAATGGCTTTTTGTGCAAATTTTGGTACATTACCTGTTTATATGGATTTCAGGAAAGGAAAAATCTCCAGAACTCGATGATGGTGGGACAGGATTTCCACCGCGCGACGATGGTGATGGTGGAGGTGGTGGAGGCGGTGGTGGTGGCCATTGGTCAGGCGGGTTCTTCTTTTTTGGCTTTCTTGCTTTTCTTGGATTCTTGAAGGATCAAGAGAGTGAAGGACCTTACCGGGATGAAAGGAGGAGATGAAGTATATATCTGTAAACTGCATCTTGCCTGTACCTCTTTTGCTAAATTCTTTGGATACTTCGTAATTTGAAAGCCTGCCGCATGTGGCTTGATCATTGAATTAGATATTGTATTAATTGGGTATTAACTTTTTAGCTGCACCAGTTCGAGTCCTCTCAGGACCATTGAGGTGAGTACTCGGTCGTAAATTTCATGGTCGTGGAATTAGTCGAGGTGCGCGCAAGCTGGTCCGAACATCCACGGTCATAAAAAAAAAAAATCTTCTTAGATGCAGACTCTGAGAGCAAGATTTTGAGAGTTCCGATCTAAAGAATATGGGAACAATATTTTTCGTGCCAAGAGTTTAGGGAATTTGTGTTCTTTGCCTTCACTGGGAAAATTGAAGGAAGCTCCTAACTTGTGGATTTAAACTTAATTCAATTCCTCCTGTTTCGATTATTCTAAACAAGTCTTGGAGTGTGAATCTAGCAAGATGAAATTTTCGACAAATTTATGTTTGACATAACGTGCTATCAAGATGAAAATTTGACATAGACGTCCTGAAGGAGATAGCTCGTAGCTAAAACAAAAGCTACACCATAGGAACAAACCTTGAGTGACGGTTCTAAGAAGAAATATTTGTCAAATTTAGTTTTAAGGAGTGAAAAAGACACTCAAACCAGAAACAGAAGCATTTAAGATTGTAACGCCTTAGACCCAACCGAAAATGTGAAAGTAAAGACACTCAGCCAGAACCTAGTTTCAGATTTAGTCGACTTCCTCCATCTTGCTACCCTCTACATCAGCATTTTAGCGTGCATTTGATTGCCAATACTTTCCATGGAAAATGTGTTTTTTCCATTTAATTTTCTACTTCTATGTTGTTTGATTGACAATTTTTTCTACGAAAATATTTTCCCACTTTTGTTCAAATTCATTTGAATGAAACTTTCCTTAGTTCTTATCAAAAATGGACAAAGTAAAATGAAATGCAAAGGATTCCAAGTCATGTAACCATATTTTCCTTGAAATGTTTTCTTTAGGGAGATGTAGTATTTATTTTCCAGATAACTCTCTGTCTCTCTCATTTATCCCCTTTCTTCCATCTACCCACCAATGAAAAATAGATAAATATAATATTTTCTAAGTTGAAAATTAAATCAATCAAACACATTTAATTAATAATTTCCATACAAATAATTAAAATTTATTCTTTCCATACAAATCCCATGTTCGCAATTAAACGCCTCTCCTTAGTGTTAATTACCCAACTATAAGATGTACCTTTATTGTCTCAAATGATAAAGAAATGACATCAATAATAGTATTTGAATTTGAATACGTAAGCTACTATGTTATGGAAAATAATAGGAAAAAATGCAGGTATACTAAAACTTTTAAGAGTTAATATGGGATGAAAGCAAACGGCAAAAAATAGAGTGGATAGAGAAGCTTGCTCTCTTATCAGAGCCAGGTTTCGATCCTGGGACCTGTGGGTTATGGGCCCACCACGCTTCCGCTGCGCCACTCTGATTTGTTGGTAAGAAATCGTATCCAAATATATTTAAAGGATTATCTTCCCCATCTCGCCACCATTTGTATTAGTTTATTTGAAATTGAATCCATGGCGACATTCCCCAAAAACCCAATAATAATTACTTGTTATCTTTAGTTTTAGTTATATTGATACCATCAACCGTGGAGAAGAGAAGGAAAAACGAGCCAAAAGAAGTGAAGCAGTTGAAGAATTTTATTTTTTTTGTCTTAAATTGGAGATCTTATATATTACTTTATGTTGCTTTGCTAATAGTAGTATTTTATCGACAAACTCGGGGTTGTGGAAGAGCACAACAAGACTTCTTTCTTGTATCAATTACGAATCGTGCGATATAAAAGTTTCATTCTTTTCGACTAGACTCTTCTCTTTCTACTAAAGTCATGATAACAATTAGAGTTATAAATGAATTGGATATGGACTGAATCTGCCCATATCTGATCTGGTTTGATTCGATAATCCAACACATATTTGTTTGTTAAATCCATATTCGATTTGCTATGTTATTGAATATTCGATCCGAAATATTTTAGAAATAGAGAATTTTCAATCTCAATACAAAATTTATTATATTATATATTAATGTTATATTGAAATTTGATAGGATTGATATTTTTCACTAAAAGCCATAAAGTATAATACAAGTTTTAAAATAAAAAAAAAATTATGTGTAATAAATTATACGGCAATATATAAAATATATTATATTATTATAACAAGTTGGATCGAATTGTTATCGAATTGGAGTGACATATATCCATACTTGCTCTATTTAGTTAACGGATTATCAAATTTGAATCTTGATCGAGTTATTGGATTGAGACACTAAATCAATTTCTCATTAATTTTAGTGGATTCGAATCAAAATCCAATCCATCGACAACTCTAGTTACAATATGTGAAAAACAGAAAAATAAATAAATAGTACATTTGATGATTGGATGGCACTGAACCGTACCCTAAAAAAATTAAAGCCTTATTTATTATAATATCGAATCATTGTCCAAATTGCATCATTTATATATCCAAAGTGATACAAGAATCACCGTTAACGAGAGAAAGTGCTTCAGGCAACTCTACATTTTATATTACCAAAAACGAATGAACGTAAAATGTGACAAATTTAGAATTACTGCTTAAAATAAAGCTCAACAATCTTCTTGAGAGTGTCAAAAACATTTGTAAATGGGTTTAGTTCAATAGAAGCTTTTAGTTCTAGATTTGGAAATTGGTTGGTTAGAGCTTTTTGCATATTAGACATAGACATCATTGCTGCAAGTTGACTATTCGACATAACCTTGCAATCTTGTGGAGTGTCTTTGATCTTGCTAGAATCGTACCCAAAGTTTGCCAAATAAGATTTGTACTTCTCGATGAACTCTGGTCCCGGGTTGGGCATCCTCGAATATACCTGAGATGTTGGTACACGAAGCAAAATTGATTAGCGAGAGAATTTTACGAAAGCTTGAAAAGTTTACTTACAAATAGATAACTTCGAAAGTATACAATTTCTTATTGATCTAAGTTGGAGATATGCAAGTTACTTAGTGAGCGTTTGGTGGGGATTCAAATTAGATTTTTAGTAGATTGTGATAGAAGTTTTTGAAATGTGTAGTTGAAAAGCTGTGAGACCCATGAAAGATGTGGTTAATATTGATTATACTCTCTAACTTAAAAGTAAGTTATCCTAACACGTTTGGAAAAAGAGAAGTTGCTTTTTTAACTCTTACTTTTTTTAAGATTATCCAAACAGGGTGGTCGACACAAAGTACAAACATTCCCATCAAGGGATGTGGACTTTGGATTAACTCTCTTGAGAACCATGACAAATCCAATAATTGCAATCACCCAACTTGCGAATGCATATTTAAATAATAATCCTCCCTGGACCTTCAGAAAACTTAAAAGAGGCCTCGGCCTCGAATGCATGATAAGTACATAAGGATTCATGTCATAAAATTTGACAAAAGGCTGTCAAGTATGGAAGTACCTGAATAAAGCTTTGGTCCTTAGCCCCAGAAACAAGGGCGTAATTATCATAATCAGTTGCAATCACATCATAGGGTTCCTTGGGAATGAATGGTAATGTAGGAAATCGAAGGTAGCACTTCTCCCTAATCATCTCCTGCCTCTCTAAGTCAGTTTCACTTTTCTCCTTATCGTCCTCAGAAAGGCATTGGACATTTCCCCTAATACCTGTAATATAGCCATCAGGTCCTCCATGAACACAAAATGTATCAACCTGGATGGCAGGTGTCTCCAGATCAAATGTATACATGCCCTACAATTTGGAATAACTAAATACTTTAGCAACCAGAATAATAATCCGACTTAGAGGGTGCATAACTGAGAAAGATTAAGGTTGCTATTTGATGACACATCAGCTTTCAAACACATCAGTGTCGCAATATATAATCTTTGCTCGTCATCCCTGTGGATCATTTGACGCTTACCTTTATCAATTCATGCAGCCACCTCTATAACACCTCCTGTGGCAACAGAGAGGGCTCGGCAAACCCCTACTTTTCATTATATAAAGAATAAATACACCACGGAGGCAGAGAGCTTAACCTCCAAAATCATAGAGTTAAGCACAAGTTTAAATTGTTTTTGATATCGCTAGTGGGTAATTTTCCATTTTAATAAATGATGCAATAAATCTGTTCGAGAGAGACTTTTTATAAAAAAGGTTTTCCTCAAAGATTTTGAGCTCTTAAAAGTATTAAGTAAATAATAACATAAGATAAGTAGAGGTTGATGTTCCAAGAGATACGGGAGTCACATATGTTGTTGCCTTCTCTATATCAGTAATGTGCATAATGGAGGGTCTCGTATGATTATGTTCTTGACAAACACAAGAAAAGAGCATATAATTGGAAGCCATGTCGAGGATGCAGAATCAGTAGGGCTGGACATGGTCTGGTTCGGTCCCGAATTTTCAAGTACTTAGTAAATAGAATCGTTGAGTCCAAATTTAATTATGGAACCTTTCGGGTTCAGTTCGATTTTTGGGTTCCGTACAATAATTAAAATTTTCAATATTTACAACGACGCTACATTAATTCAACTAATGATATATTCAATTTTAGCTCTTACAAAATAACGTAGTCCAAACTTGTGATATCTTTTGAGCATCTCTTTGTTGAGTTCTTCATAAATTTGATTGTTAAAATCACGTGAAGAGGAAGATAACAAGCTCACAATAATGAAGAGAGGCGTAGTCAAGCTTTCAATTCGATTTCTCCAAAAAGGACACTCGCTTCGGCTAAAAATTAGAAATAAAAAAATCATATTTTGAGTTTGGGCTTAATTAATTAGTTAGCAAATTTATTTAGAAAAAAATTAGGTTGATTTAAAATAAAAAAATTACAGATATTCGGTTCTTGGTCTAGAACTGAATCAAACTCATTGATTCTCGATTTAAATACCCGTTCGGATATTTAACTTACGAAGAACCGATCGGTTCGGGAGTTTTGTCAAACCCCAAGAACCAGATTTTATTGGAAGGTGAAATGTTAAGTGTTATTCTTTTTCCCATGCTATTGGATACCTGGGTGCAGTGGCAATCTTCCTGACCTAGTCCAGCAAATCCACCTTTAAGTGAAGCTACTTCAAACCATCTTCCAGCATATCTAACTGGATCGAAGTTCTTAGTTGTCATACCTCTTATCATCATTCTACTTCTCTCATTATTCGCTTTGTCAAAAGGAAGACTTTGCAAGTTGTCGGTAGCATTTGAGAGCTGGCATACACTGTTGTGAGAAAGATCTGTTGCAACAGCCTGCACAAAAGAACTAGAATTAGTTCGGGAATAATTTTTTCAATTCAGATTGATAATTCTATCTTTCTTTTACGCTTGGTTGCCAGGAGATCTTTCGTGTCTCGCTGAAAAACATTTAACCTGCCTTCATTACCTCGCCAATACATCCTATAATGAACTTGATTCTTATTGGAACCCTCATTCCACCAAGTACTCTACTTCCTCTGCAAGCCACTTACACCTAAAGGTTTAATGGAGGAGCTTAATCCAGTACTACAAAGAAACACAGTTAGGCTGAAAATTCTTCCGTATATGTAGCAACACCGTGCACTAAAAGCTACAAAATAATACACTATACCCATCCAGACAACCTACAGTCTGCTAAAGAATACAACATTAGAAGAATTCTAGAATAATCAGTCCTTGTTTTGAAGAATTGGGATGAATAGAAGATCATCGGCTCCCACCTTCACGACGATTTTTTTTTTTTTTTAAGAATTTGTGGTTGAAAATAAGAGGGCTAAAAATTATAGAACTAACCAGATTTGTCTGGGAGAGAATAACTATTGAAGCTGCAAGACCTGATATTACTTGTTTAAGTCCCGACTTAGCTGATATAGAATGTGTAGAACAGCAATCCGGCATTGGTTTGGCTGGCATTACCCTAAAGTAAATGGGAAAATTTTAGCACTATATGGCCCTGTTTGAGCCAAATTATTGTAGAATGAAAATGAAAAATATAGCCGCCATATAAGAGATAGAAAATTTGAATTTAAATGTTGATGTGATGGATAATCGTCATATTTTTCATTTTAATGAGATAATAATGTAGATCAAACGGGGCATAACACAAGTATATCAGACAAGAAGAACCAGATTACAGTACGTGAATGCAAGAAATTTGAACACGGAGAGACTTTTTATCATCACAGAAACAGTAACTTGAAATTCCCAAATTGTTGTTTCCAAAATAAGTAGAACTGATTAAAACAGCATATATGTTACCGCCAATCTTCTTAGTTCTTTGCATCAGGATGTATTGGGATTTTGATGTTTAAAATTCATCAAATGGAAAGACCAATAAATGAAGAAATACTTCAAATATTATACACATTCTGCAAAAACCACTTGTTCCATCATGGTATTGCATAATAGTACACTAAGATTTTCACAGTCCCAATCTCAATCAACAGCTCCAATTCTTAGTTGTTAAAACAATTAAATCAATCATCACTCTGCTGAAAAATATCAAAAATAGATATGGGTTCACCTGGAGAAGGGAGGATAACGTGATTGAACATTGATCAGCGGTGATTGCGCAACCACTAAATTACTATGACACGCCATTTTCTTCCCTCTTGATTCTTCACCCAGTAATTAAAAATTTATCAGAGGATAAAAAAAGAGCGTAAAATTGCAGAAATGCAGACTGGTGAGTGATAAGCATTAAAACCCACAACTAGACAATTGCCACGCTCTTTGAATTAGCCCCCACCACTACTTACCCCGATGTCGTATTATGGAGGATAATATTGCTATCACTTTGAGAACTCTCCCTCTCACGGGTCCCCTTTGTAGTTCTTTGAAATTGATTTTTCTAATTTTTTGTCTCAAACCTCATTTTTAATCATACATTTTAAACAAAAAAAAAAAAAAATTTCCACGTTCACGTAACTTTTTCCTACTTTTTTAACCCCACGAAAAATTATCAAATTATAAACATCATTTCAATTTTTTTTCCATTCTAATGTTGGAATTAAAGAGTACATCTTGACCAAGAAAAAGAACAAAATTCTTTAGTGAACACTATTATTTAGAAGAGACTATTATTTTGATTTCCAGCAGAAAGTAGATTAAAAAACGAATCTTCTTTATCTCTGTCATTCTTCTCTGTTCTTTCTCCATTGAAACCCGATTGATAGGACGCTGACGGTACTGACCGTTTGATGGATACGAAGGCGACCTTCTTCGATGCAGTATTAACTTCTATAGGACATGAACTCGGAGATGCAGTCGAACTTGTGGGTAATGCAACTTCTGAAGAAAACAATGCGTCGCCTAAGTCACTTTCAACCGGCTTTTCATGATTAATCTTGGCGACATTTGACGATGATGAAATGTTAATGTTTCTTTCAACGCAGGTAGAGGGTTCTTCGAAAGGAACTGTAGACGGGCCTGGAGTACCCGAGGCAACTTCCACTTGCTTTTCGTCACCATTTACCAAAGATCTAGTTTTCATGTCTTGAGCATTAGTCGGGCCTTCTTCTGGAACATGCTGAGTATCTATTGTACCGGGGTTATCAACTACGCAAGGAAAGGAAAAGTGAAATAAGTTGTAGAACAGAAAAGAAAAACCATACTTACAAGAATATTAGAACAATTGCAGACAGATTGATAATGAGAAAGTTCATCACCTACACAGAAATAGAAATACGGTGGAATAAAGTTATGGCAAGAAAAATTCCATATATTTTGAGCAAGTTTGGGATACAGTATAGACTGTACTAATGAATATGAGCACCTGTCTGGTGGAATTTTTTTGAGAATGAATTTTTGAAAAATGATTTTTTCGAAGAATGTATGGTTAAAAACTTAAAATGAATGGAAAAGTCATGGTCCATGTGCAAAATTATTTTACTGGTAGAATGCGTGGTTGAAATAAATTGCGGGAAATACGAGTTTTTAAAAAGGGGGTCTAAACGGATCCTAATGTATTCATTTTTCCCCTTTCTTAATACCATCGTGTATTATCTAATCCACCTTATAAAGCGTACCAGTAGATGCTAAAAAAAATTCTAACTAACAACATAAAAAATCATTTAGGCACGTTGTTACCTCCAAGTAAAATCTCAATGTTTTCATATAGTATTTTGGATGACCTTAAAGAGACATCTTCCCCGATATCCTTCTCTTGGCTTTTACTTTCACTTGTATCCGTCCTCTCAACTAAGAGATACTTGTCTGTCTGCCACACGCATTCTAGAAAAGTAGAAGCTTGCTCTTTGGCTGGATAATATTCTCTAAAAACCTGCAAATTAAGGGAATGGAGAAGAGGAATTTCATTACAGGAACTGCAGGACACGATCGAAAAATCACAAATGCAGAAACGAAGAAGGCATTAATTTTAAGTACTTTAATAAGGCAACTAACCTCGAATCCTTTTTGATTTAATTTTATAGATTGTTTCTTTTGAGAAAGAGAAGAGATAGTATTAAATACAAGAACAGCATCCAGAAGAATCTGCAATAAAAGAATTATAAACAAATTAATTGAAAAAAAAAAAATTACTAACTCAGAAATTCACTTAGAACTTTTGGGATCCCAATATTGCATAATTAATTACATTTCAAACATCAAGCACCTGATTTCCGTCCCTACCCCCAAATAGAAAAAGAAAAAACAACTCAGACGTAGTTAATTGCAGAATATTATCTATATTTCAGGTCAACAACCGAAGAAAATAGAATTATACTCACACATCAATCTGAGGGTCCTTTCACACACCATACACAATTTCAGAAATTTAAAACATAAGATAGTCTCACAGAACAAGAAATCCTTACTTGTTGAACCAGTACCCGAAGGCGTGAAAGCACAGCCAAAATTGTTACTGAAAAACCCATAAAAAATGATCGAGCAAGCAGCTTGGATATCTCCCTTTGGATTGTCAAGGGAAAAAGTAGATGATAAATAGTTCGAATTCAACTTCCCACAGTTGCAAAGACACCAAACGACATGTTTGCTGGTTGTGTTTACTTTGAGACAAAAAGCATAACTAAAAATAAAGAGATTAAGAAAATGAGCAGAAATTTGATCATGTAACTTTTCTCACAAATGATTGAACTAGAGAAGTTAGAACGAAAAAGTTCATATAGTAGCCAAAGACAAGAGAACAGATAGAAACTTGACAGCAAATGTACAGGTAGAAAAACCCTCATAGTGTGAAGACGCAGGCCTAAACTGCAACATAAAAAGAATATGATAGATGATTAGGAAGATAGCTCTACCACAATCTTTGGATCAGAAATGTATGATTGGTGAAAGTTTGAGAAAAACTATAACAAAAAAGTGGGATAATAAACACGCATAGAAATCACTATGCAACTATGCAAAGCATTTTGCCAAATCATCAACTGTTTAGTCATATCAAACATTGAAGAAACGCTCTCTAGCTGACACTTGGCGAAACAATATATCTTATAAACATGGTTAAACTTGAACTGAAAGGATACATAGCAGTCTTCAGCATTGGCTCAACCATCTGTTATGGGGTGAGAAAAAATGTTAGAAAATTTATACATTGGCTTAACCATGTGATTGGGAAAAACAGAAATTAAAGAAAAGAAGCCGATCCACCTGTGACAATAGGCGTGCAACTCCTAAAAGCCGCTCCAAAACATTATACTTTCCATTATCGCACCTTCGCCTCTTAAAACTAAAGCCATAACATAAATAATTAAACAAATAAAATAAAATATCTAATGCCGAACAAATTAAAGTTCATATTACATCATATAACCCAAAATTCAAGAAAATATTTCTAATTTGTTTCAACTTTAGTATGGATCCTTGGTAAATCAACTAATGTATACAGAAGTAAGAACGACACCTCATGCCATACGTGCCTATATTTATAAGTAGAACCCAGACTGCAAGAAGCGTGCAACTGGGAATGGTGAGGAACACAAGAGAAGTTATCAGTCTGTCATATATTCATGTCTTTACTGGACGTCTGGACCACAAACTAATAATTTATACTTCACGGGACAGCCAAACAAAACTAGGATTTCAAACTATTGATCTGTGCAACGTGTGAGCATAAAATACACCGACAAAGTTTTCTCCAACACAATCCATGCATATTTCAAATGATGAAGGTTGCACATTAATCGCATTTTGGAAATCAGTGAATTCCACAATGCACATTTGCTGCTATCGGTAGAGTGCTCCTCAACCACAGTTAAGTGTAAGACTATTATATACTACTTCCATCCCATAAAGATAAGCTTGGTTTCCTTTTCCACTGTCCCAAATTATAGGTCACTTTCCTTATTGAAAGGAAGAATATTTTTTAGTTTTCTAATATGCCATATTTAATGTACCTCGTTATCAATAAATATAGATTAATCATATTGAGGGGAATGTTAGAAAAAAAATGTAATTTTTTTTATATTTCCAACTATATTAACTACATTTTCTTAGTATGTGTGAAAATAGAAACAAACCTATTTCTATGGGAGGTAAAAATGCATAATACTACCTTTCCAAAAGCTGCACCTTTTGCTTAGGTCTATTCCCATTGATTATGAGAAAACAGGCATTCAAAATCTCCTCAATATTTGCTGATTTCAAAAGTTTCAAATCCCTTCTAACCTATCAATTCAAAAATAACAAAACATGCATCAATCAGCAATCACAGGAAACTTAGACACGCAAATAGACAAAAATATTATTATGCTTGAGAAGTAACATGCTAGCAACCTTTAGAAGATATTGAAAGTAAGAACATCTTCGATGCTGATTCTTGTTTTTGTAGACAATTCTCTCAAGAATCCCACATTCTGTTTGGAGCTGAACAATAAACGACTTTACTCTCTGCTCAGTTATTTCAATCTCTGAACCCATTTTAGCATTCAACTG